GGAGATCTTTTTAGTGACTATTCACTGTCTGACTTTTGTACATTATCTTGGTCTTGTATTAAAAGTAAAATCTCCACCTTTTTTTTTTTTTTTTTTTTATCATATATTGTACTTTAAAAAAAATTCTTTGCCAATTATTTGAACAGGAAGTCTGGGGAAAGCTTAACAGCAAAACAAAAAAAATGTTATAATATAAAGATTAAAAATACTGAAAGCTTTTTGCAGCAAAGAGTCTTTAAATTGCTAACCTTGCAACAGTGATCTCTTGCCTGCATTCATGATGCCCAGACAAAATTTTCAGAAACTACTGTAATAAGAAGATGACATGTCCACTCAAAATCCTGAGCATCACACACATACAAAACTAAAAATAAGCAAATAAATCAGACAAGGCTTGTATCCTATTTCCCCATTTAGCCTCAAGAAAGTGGAATTTCAATTAAACAATTCATAAAATTACCATCCAACTCCTAAGCCACTATTTCAACATACTTCCTGTCTCGGCATGTGCCCAGGGCAGTGCTATTTTGCCCAAGCTCACATCCATCTACTGCTTTGGATCTTCCGAAATTCACACTCTTGGCAGAGCTGTGCCACAGCTCCTCTGAGCCATCTGATCTCTCAGGAGTACTCAGTGATTCCATAACACAGCACTGAATCCAGCTTTCATGGGGAAATGGATTTTATAACAATTATACAAGAATTTATAAGTACACAGSGATGGAAGAAGAGACCAAACCCAGGACCCATCTGGGTCACGAATTCATTGAACACCTTTAGTTCCACAAATCTAGTTTTGTTGGTTCCTTGGCTGTTTCAACTTTTATACCAGACATGTCTCTATTCTAGAACACCATCCTAGAAAGTAGATGTTTGGGTTAGAACCCTGTCCTTCTCATATGGGGACTCAACCCACACCAGCCATTTGTTAGGGGTCATTTAACCAGCAAGTTGCCATGCAGCAGGCAAGGGCCTCATACCTTCCATACCTCTGAGTAAAACAAATAAATAAATAAGTATTTGCCTTGAAATGACAACCAATGTGTCATGATGGAATCCAGGGACATATCAGAATGGAATGTAACCAGGAAATAAATCCTGGATTTTATCTGCAAGAAAACAGGTTTGCAGAAAAGGGCCCTGCTGGACAAAAAGCCAGCAATGTGCAGTGCAGCAGAGAACACCATCAGTCTCCTGGACTGCATCAGGAAAGCAGGAGGCGATCCTGCCCTTTCCTCAGTCTTGGTAAGGCCATAGGAAAATGACTGAGCGCTGGAACAAGTTGACCAGAGACGTTGTGGAGTCTCCATCCTTGGAGACAGGCAAAAGCTGCCTGGATACAGTTCTGGACAATGTGGTCCAGGTGGTTCTGCTTGAGCAGTGAGGTTGGGCTAGATGGTCTCCAGAAGSCCCTTCCAATCTTAAACGTTCTGTGATTCTGGAAACTGCGGCAGTAGCAGCAGTGCTGCACTCTCAAGAAACTTCTCTGGCAAATCAAGAAAAGCCACCTGTGTTGTCACAGCTTTAGTTCTGCACGAGGCCGATTAGCTCAGGACAAGCCATGCACTTGCACAGCCCAGAGCTGCACAGCACAGATGCACCAGCCCTCCCTGAGCAAGCCCCAGACCTCTAACCCAGCAGCRCTCAGGCATTATTTTATCTCCACAACCCAGACCTGAGGGAACCTTACTGAACTTTCTGTTTTTCTCTCAGCTTCTGCCCAATTGCATTAGCTAGGCCAGGGCCACACTTTGCATAACACTTGTTTCATAGTCAGGTTGTTTCACTTAAATTGAGAGCAGAACAGAACACAGAGATTTTCTATTCTGACCACTTGCATTAAACAAGCTATTGAGCCCCTGCATAATTCTTGCATCAAGCCCAATAGCTTGTGACAGACGGAACATATTCTTTGGACAGACAAGTGTGTTCAGTGCCAGAATTACTCCATATGGAGACGAGCAGCAATACAGACACAGCATTCTAAAGAGCAAGGAATATTTTATTGCAAAGGATACGAAAAGTAGTGTCAAATAGGAGGAAGGCCATCTAAAATACCAGATGAAATGGACCACTTATTTAACGAGGATAGGGTATTTAAATAAAAAAGATCAAGCAGATAATGTGAAAATACAATAAAAAGACAGTATTTTAAAGGTTTTTCCCCCAAAATAAATGGAAAATTTAAATTAAGAAATCTTCCATTGACCAATAGTCATTGAAATAAGAAAAACACATAACCATYCTATCAAATTACTAAATGTTGCTTCATGCATACAGGCTAACTGCATTTTATAAACTATTCTTCACTCCAGTGCCAGAATGC